CTCCATGATTTTGGATTTTGTGCTTAAGCAGCAGTTGGTTTAATTGTCGATTCAGTCTTTGAAAGAGGCTCAACTTTATGTCGTTAACAAAACTGACTGTTGTTCTCCTGTCTTTAAGAGCTTCTGTACAGTGCACAATGCTGCTGCCACTTCAGAGTGCTTGAGAACGTGCTTCCATTTAAGAGCATGAACAGACCATGGGACAGAGGGCCAAATACCTTTAGCTTCTCAACCACACACCATAATCTGAGAGCTACTGGAAACATACCAGGAACACAGGGGAGTTCACGGGAGGAAGAGCTTCAGGAATGGTTGAAAAGTGCTGCCTTCTCAGGTGGCTTCCCACGACTTCATTGTAATAGGAGGGAATGGGATGTGCAGTGAGGCTGACCCTGTTATGTCAGCCGGACTTGTTTTCCTAGAGCTGAGGGAATTAGGAGTAGCATTAGTAGAGGAAGTTAGTGAGTACCAACTTCTGTTGCTCATGTGACATATCTCTGGCACAGGAGCCACAGTTTAAGGTTTCCGTAGTCATGGGCAGCCCACTGTAGTAGGAATTTGTGCTGATCCAGGCCACAGCATCAATACAGGGAATCACCAAGCCCTGAACGAGGAAGAAAACCATTTTGAATTGTAGTTACTTCCAGAATGGGTAACATACTGGAATTGTCCTTGTTCAATCCTTTGCTGAGCTCCTTTTACAATTACATAAATACCGGTAGAATAATAGGAAACAGGAAGAAGGAAAAAAAAAAAAGAAAAAATTACTGCCTCTTTCTCAAAGCTAAACAAAATCTTAAGGTAACCTAGGAATCAGACCTCTGCTATATCCTTTAGATGAGATTTATTTACTTCATGTTGACAAGGTCTCCCCAATTTCTTAGCTTGTGGCTCTCTATCAACAGCACACACTTTTTGCAATCCACAACGCACTCTTATCATCAGCCCTTTTTTAAAAAACATTGTGAGACTTTAATTTCCAGCTGCTCACAGTAAACCATGCATGGTTTGTGCACCACTACTTGGAAACTGATAGCATAATCAGGAAAACATGTCATAAAAAAAAACCCCTTCACATCATGTTTATTGGCAATTTCAACACAAAAGCTAGGGTCTGAACACACTGAGACCTTGCTACGTTGTTTTCACTTCTGGGGAAAATGCTGCAAATTCGTGGTGAGGGAAAATGGTAGGAAGCTTAAATCATTTATGATAAATCTTAGTATTTTGTAAAATATAAAGACTCAAATGAGTAGATATAAAATCTAGTGATGTAGCAGCTCTCAAATGTCAAGGATATTAGAAGGACATGCAGGTACCTGTGTTTGACCACACACGCACAAAAGAAAGCCTACAACATGCGGATGGATGTTTCTTCAGCAGTACTATACAAGATATCAGGAAATGGAGTACACTCTCTTACCTAGATGAAGTCATACTGGGAAATTAAAGCAGAATGTTATTACTTTGTTGGAACTGAGGGTCCTAATATTCACAGATCTTTACTCTTTTTGGAATTTCCGATTCTTTCATATGGATGAAAATCATGCAATTAAAGTATGCGTTTTCCAAACAAACTCTTGTTAAGCACATGGTAATATTTTGAAAACAGATAAAAAACCAAACTGATCAAGTTATTTGGGATGCTGAAAATGTTTGTGCAGCTGGTAATACTCACTCAAGAAAGAGAATACCAGTAGTAATTGTTATTAGCAATATTTTGTAACTGACACCAAAGTCTATGAAATACAGAATGATGTTACAAACCAAAACATATTTGTAATTTTTAAAACATATTTATGTATCACCACAGCTCAAGAGAAATAAAGATACACTTTTGTTGGTTAGGTACTGTTAAATATCCACAGAGCCAGATGTGGAGCACGCCACTGAATAAACTGTGGCCTTGTCCTGGAAGATGAATACAAGATGTCACAGGAAACATAAAAATGAATGAGGTAGTGAGTCTTCTCTTCTGAAACACTCTGAAGTCCATGCCTGACCGTGCTTTCAGGCGCTGTCTTTTAGATGGGATAGGAGAACGGTCGTATGTAGTCAGTGTTAAGGTGATCTTGCTACTCACGTCTTTTGAAATTTTTCTTAACTTTTTAGTTTAATCTGGTATTAAGGAGGAGGAGACAAGATACTTTTTCAGGGACAAAATGGAGATGTTGTGTGAGACAACCATAGTAAGGGATATGGCAAGACAAACGAGGTGGAAAAGCTGTCCAGAAAGGGAATTGTCTACTTTTAAGCAGCAGAAGAATGTTTTTGATCTTGTGTAATGGTCTTGGACTAAGACTGCTGCAATGAGGTATCTCATTACCTCCTTGTCAGATGGAATGGCATATTATCATGTCCATCCTATTTCATTTCTCCATATTCCACTTATATGCACTTTTTCAACATTTTTGGATGACTTTGAAAAGTAATCTTTTACAGTGAAATGTTCCTAACATCTTTCTCCTTTATAAGTGTATTCTATTACTATGGAAACTTGGGACTTTTGATTCTTAGAAATATACCGGTGTGGATCTCTCTGTGATCCTATCCCTGCCTCTTGTTTCCGAGATTAAGTTACAGTCTTGCAGTGACATTGTTATCTCAGATAAATAGCTTTGTTCAAGAAAGTTTACTCTCTGTTAGGAAAATAAATACATAAAATTAATATATGAAAGAATTAGAAATGAATATGCAGCCATTAATTTTTTTTTTTCAGTAATTTGCAGTGAAATATTAACAGAACTATTTAGGAAACAATAATTTTTTATTTCCAGAATAATTATTTGTGAATTTTGCTTCACCTGGTTAATATTTCTTTGTTTTAAACTATGGTTATTGTGATAAGAGCCCTCAAGTTCCCCAGGTGTTTACAGTTTATGATGCTGATCCTGGAAGCTTTTCTTTGGGGATAGGTGCCTGACCTGCAGAGAACCTCCCAGAAGCAGTGGGGACTCTATTTATGTGTAGGGATCAACCCAAGCAAAGGAAATCTCAGAGGCACATATATACACTTCAAACAATCAACACATGTGGACAATTTTCTAATTATAACACACATGCACGTTTGTGTAATATTTAGCTCAGTTATTACATTTCCAAACGCTCTTCAGAAGAGTGAAGAAAGCAGATATCTTGATCTACGTAAACCTTTAGTCTGAGTAAAGCGATACTGGACCATATGTATTGTTAAACAGTGCTTTGAATTTAGCATGGTAGAAAAATTACTCTTAAACAAGAATAATGGGTAAACATGAGTAACAACACTGCTAATATATACAGTTAGGCTTTTGTCAGACAATATGTTATATATTTCTGTAACAAACACAACTGGTATCTTCTGACTGGCTCATAATTAGGTTCCTTTCCAAAAGTAATCCTTTAATACAATAGCTGCCCAAATCCCAGTTCAACTTAATTTCACTGAATTTGATTTTTGGACTAAAAGCATTAAGCTTGAACTAGTGAAAAATGTACAAAGTGTGCATTCAATTAAGGAGTAATTAGATACTCAGTCACCCTTACATCACACTAGGGATTAGCCAAGAAAGAAGATAGATACTACTTGCTGTGGTGTATAGAACAATTTTGTTAATTAGTTTAGCACTAATTGAGATTGAGAAAGTGTCACTGTGTCACAGCGTTAGTTTGCCTACATGGAACCTTAAGAATACAAAGTTTCTATTTTTTTCTGAGCGTACTGGCTCAGATTGTTCAATGTAATACCCTCACCCTGTGTCTTTCCACTCAAGAGAAATCTTTCTGCTCGCTACCAGCGGGGTTTGGTCACTGCACCCTCATGTCAGTAGCCCACTGAAAAATGTACTGAGAGTTTTTCAAAATACCAAGAATAACTTGTTATTATTAAATATTTTTATGTTATACCTTTATAGCAAGGCCACAGGAAGAACTGGGCATCTGCTATACTATTACCTAAAATATGACTAAAAATAGCTGCTTTGTGAAGGGCTTACAGTCTCCTGTTGAAGGGAGCCAGTAGAAAGTTCTTCAAGTTGACCATCAAATGGTCCTGCTGCCAAACCTTGTGACTTTAGGGGATATTGGATGATAATCAGGGAGCACAGGGAAATCATTGCGTAGATTGTCTTCTGTGTAGACACCAATTTCTCAACTGCACTGCTGGTGACTGGCTGCCTCCACACTCCATCTTTAAAAAAAAGTTTTGGGAACTCTCTAGGGAGGTGTTGACTCTACTTGCAAGCAAAAGTAGCTGCAGGTGAATATTTACACCCAAACACTTAAGGATTGGTGTATTATTGTGTAATTGTTTTTACTCATTACTTATTGAGCTATAGTTGGCACTAAAATAACCTTAGGAAAAATGAGATTGTAGTACAATAGAATGAAACGTCACTCTCACACCTACCACTTCTGAACTGAGAAGCGCTGGGGCAACCTGAGTAGCTGATTTCCAGAGTTTATATTGAAACACATAGTATGTGTTTGCATGAAACCAAGACTTGTTTATCTCTACCGCTAATGAATATTACTGCTATTAGGAGGGACAGTTTGGGTCATTGCCTTCTGTCTCAGCACATCTGACTCCCATGAGAGCTGTATACTCAGCACTTCACACAGTAGGGCCCCTAAAAGGGTAAACAGTCAAAAACTCTATATGGCTAGTATATTTTCCTGTCTAGTTTACAGCTATGATCTTCACATTAGCATCAATTACCTGATTGATTCAGAAAGACAGTAGAAAAGCTTTGTTTCAAGGTAGTACTTTTACCACTGCATTTACTGTTGCAATTTCATTGCCATTTCTTCCACTGCTGTTAAATCTTCCAGCATTGGCTTCAGCCTAAATGAGAAGAATCAGGCCTGTTATGTCACTGAAGTATATGCCCTGAAACTCCCCCCACCTGCTATCATGAAACCCTTGCTTTTAGTTTCCCCTGTCTCCCTGGCTGGACATAAACAGTCTTTCAGACCTACTGCAGAGGAATTTCAGTAGCATAATTGTGCCATTCTCTTTTCAGAGTGGGGGAAGACAATGCTCCCACAGTGCCCTTGGATGAGAAATGGAAACTTTTGAGACTGCTGCTTCAGTTGAACCACAAAGCCTGTATTGTTTGCCTTCATCTAGTTCAGCCTTGATAGACAGCTGTGACAGTTGGTCTGTCCACACGGTCCGGTGAAATTCTGGGAATGGATCTGTACATTAAAATAAAAAAACACATTAAATCTTCCAATTCACACTGTTACCTATTTTAAAATGGTAATTATCATTACTTATGTAGTTTCTTTACTATCTCATTCAATATTGGTCCAAATAGTACTAGTTTTAAGCTTGGCATGAATGTTAATATATATAGAAATACTCATCACTGTTTTGAATTTTGGATTTAATTTTATTTTATGGTATTTCTTGTGCTGTCATTAACTAATGTCTTTTCTGTAGAGGGGAGGTACATTCTGTAAAGCTAATAAAAGCATTCACTGTGCACAGAGGATATTATGTCAATTAAGAAATCAGTTTTGGGCAGAAGGGAACACTTCTCTGCCAAACCTATACATGTAACATTGTTTAGCTGAATAAAGCTGAGTGACGTTGGCATTACTAGGAACCTTTTTGAAATAAGGAACCGTTTTGAAACGAGGAGAATTAACCAGTGTACCAATAAACAGAGTCATCTGGATTATTTTCTACTTGTTGGGTCATGGAACTTTGCAGAGATGTGTTCAATTCAGGCAGAAAATTATAGGCCCTTGTTCTCCTGTGAGTTATGACAGTTCCATTTGTTTCTGCACATTGCTGAGGATGGTGGTCTGGGGACCTGCTCTGCATGTCCTTAGCTCACTGCACAGCATGGGGATTGCCACGCTGGGCCACACAGGACACAACACTGGCAAAACAGAAAAGGGAAAGGTAGTCTAAGCCAGTTAATCAAGCTCATAGCTTCTATTCCTGCACAACATGTAGATTTGACAGACAGAGTCAATAACATGGTGAGAAGTAGCTTTGATCACCACAGTTTTCAGCACAGTCCATTTTACTAGCATGAAGAGGGCAGGTTTATGCAGAGACCTGTGTGAGTGGAGGAACGCCTGAGGCGCAGATGGCAAGCTCCAGGCAGGGACACAATGGAGATGCAAACAGAGGGTTCACAAAGGGGAGGAACTCCCTGGAAGCAGATTGGTGAGTCATCAATCACAAAGTCATCACCATGCAGTGGTAAATGAAGGTCGCAAGGCATCCTTAATCCACCTCTTCAGAGCTGCTGCTGAATAGGGAGTTGGGAATTCTCAGAGTCATTTATGTGCATATTAGGGGCAGTGTGAACAATAGGACAAACCCACATACTAGGCATGAGCTGGATAAGGGGAGTGAATGCTGCTCACTGCTTCATGTGTTCATAAGCGTGTATTGCAGAAACATTTGCTACCACTGGAGAGACACACAGTTGCCCTTCACATCATGTATGGCAATGAATGCATAGAAAATACACAGCAAGCAGCCCCTCATGAAGTCGTCTGTTTATTTCTGGCTCAGGACAGTTGTAATAGCTGAACTGTTCTTTTTGCCTGTAGAAGCTCTTTAGATTTTTAAGATTGTGCTTAAGAAAGTCCCTCTCTACCTCCTGCCCAAATTCAATAATGTATGACCGCATTTTCTAGACAAGGGGATCATGATTTAAGTGCAGGCCAGAAATACACCTTCCATCTGCAGTGTGCCCAGCACTTCCATAATGACAAAGTAGAAGCTTCACTGGCTGCTGCCCTTCATCCTTCAGCAATTACTCCACCAGCAGCTGCAGCTGGAGCCCAACCCAACACGCTGTGCACCAGAGTTCAGCCTCCTGCTGACTCACATCTCACAGCAGGAGTCTCTGCATGAGGTCTGCTGCAAGTAGAGCAATGTCTGGCCTGCAAAGGCTAGGCCAGACTCTCTGCAGTTTTTGATAGTAGCCTGATAATTTCTTCTCGTCGTCGGCTTGGGCTCTAAAGATGTCAAAAAGAAAAAAAGACAAAAAAACTAGGAGGCAGAAGTCAACTGGTTTCTGCCAGTTGAAGACCAATCCCTATATCCTTGTACCCAGCAATGAAGGAACCCTCCAAAAATGGAGTGAACCAAATTCTAAGCCCAGCAGTTCCCAGATTACACCTACAGCTCATTTAGATCTTTTCGCTTTGCACACAACATGCTATTAACTGCTGAGTATTAGCTGAGAGTAACTGTAATATTAATACGGCAAATATTGGTGTTATGATGAAATCTGAGCTAGATTTATTCTCTAAATAAATGTGTTCCTTATCTTGGACCTGGACAATAGTATTCTGACTGTGAAAGAAGGAGACGTTGCAATGCAAATGATGTAATGTCTCCTCCAAAAAAAATGAAGCCTATTATTTCCTTTTCCTGTACTCCCTTCCTGTGTTTACTGTTCTTTCCTGCATTGCTTTGTACGGTGAAGTTCTAGCTGGATAAATACTACAGCTGAAGGAGCAACTGAGATTAGCAAACCTATCTCAACATTAGTGAGACTTTTTAGGTTTTTTTTGAAGGCTTGACTTTGAAAGAAAAAAAATGTAAAAAATGCTTAAAACTGTATTTTATCTTTAGAAACAGATCTAATTACAAGAACAAATTCATTCACAAAACATGCCCATTCTAATTACAGATTGGTCAACCCACATTCTTAGTGTGTTGGGAAAAGTTAAATTAGTCTTTCTGGTTTCAGGAGGAATCCATAAGGAGGAGCTTGCAGCAAGGATTCTCCATGTATTACTTCAGTTACACTGCAAACAAGCAGTTTTACTGAGTGTGGTAGGGCTCTGTTACTTTCCAGAGTTCTACATTCCTGCCTTTGTATTATCATTTTTAAGAAATCATAAAAACTGATAAAGGTATTCTGAGAGCAGTGTAGGGCCCTAAATTAATAATTTCTTTTTCAAGCTTACACCCGCTAAACGTCTGAATCAGACTGGAAGTCCTTTTAAGGATAATTATTAATGTGTGTGGCACTCCATATAATTTTGAAGACGAATTAGAAATGTGAATTAAAAGTTTCAAGGAGGTGTTGAGGCTAGAATAAATTCACAGGCAGCAGTTACACACTTGTTGATCAATAAATTTATGACATAATACTTCAAGCAGCATTAGGCTTCCTGGGGCTGGCTCTGCAGCCTTCAGTTAAACTTTTGGCTAGTGCAGAGAATAAGAAGAAACATAGCTGTTGAGAGGAGGCAGATGAGGTGGGGAGAACTTGTGCTGTCGTAGATCTCTGCACTGCAGGTAATGTATGCTTTTGGTGCCTTTGTACCTTTTTGGAGCTCCCAGGAAATCTTAGAGGCCTAAAGCTCTTAGCTTACAGTTAGACCATGGCTCAACATGCTTTGCACTCAGCACTACAATCCTGGGTCCTGAATGTCAGCTCAGAGGAAAGTCTTGGATAGCACCATGACTCCTGACTGCTTTCAAGCAGGTCCCCTGTTTCATTTGCGTGAAGACAAAGGCACAAGTAGAACAGCAGTGAATGGTGGATAAACTGGTGTGGGATAAAGGGATTTGACCCCAGATATTACAGTGACAAGCACTGTATAGTAGCCAGATGCAAAAGCATTGCATGACCTGGAACAGTGAGTCTAACAGGAAATAAAAGGCAGTCTCTGGCCAATGACCCTGTTGGTCGCGTAAAGGGCAATTCACTGGTGTTCTTGAATCCCAGAGGGTGACTGAAGACTGGAATGTTAAACATGTTTAGCACAAGGGCAACATAAAAATAAGATTACTGAGAAGTTTCAGCTGAATTTTGCTGAGACTGCAAAAACAACGAGGAGGGAGAGCTCCATATACAACCATCTTTGCAAAAGTCCCACCCATCAGTATTCTCCAGAACTGCCAGGTTGCAAACATCAGCTCAGCATTTTCTGGGTTGAATTTGACTAGGAGGCACAGCACTAGTGCAGTAATGGCCTTGTACAAATTAATCCTTTCATGCTTGTCACATCAATGCCAGTGAGAATGAGGAAAAGCTTCCTTCCTTGTACATGTGGGGGAATCCCTTGGTGAATGAAGGCAGTCGGGGAAAAGGAGAAGATGCTTTCAGAGTTAAGGGCTGTGGAAAGAGGAGAAGCCTTAGCCTGTTGTTTTCTCCCTGGCTGGGTTTCACAATGGCATCATCAGCCATGGAGTCAGCTTTGAGATGTGTTCATTCTTCATAAACCTGGACCATCTACTGAAATAACAGGCAGCTGGGGAACTATTCACCACATCTCCTGAGGTTATATTTGGAAGTGTTCACATGCACATGTATTTATGGAGCGCAGCAAACGGGCAGCAGTTCACGCAGAAGGATGCCGGAAGGCAAAGAAGGCACCTTCGTTTCTCGTAGTAGTGTGTGCTTCCCCAGGTATGGTCATGACATGCTGCAGAGCACATTCCCCACTGGCTGCTGGAGTTCCTGCATCACCTGTGTCTGAAGCTTCAACCCAGACAGACCCTCTGACAGCAGATGCAGCTCTACAGTGTCAGGCTGCAGGAAGTGCCTAGGGCCTCCCCGTGAGGCCTGGGCTGATAGCTCTCCTGTGCGAGGTGTGCTGTGGCTGATCAGTTGTATCGCCAAGTAAAGGAGTTATGGGAGGAAGTTAGTAGGCTGCATAGCTTCCGAGAAGACGAGCAGGAGATTAACAGGGTATTCTCGGAGACCATGCAGCTCCAGGAATCCCCACCCCCCCACTGCAGTGGAGTTGCTGGAGGGCTCTGTACCATGTGAAACGGCACATCATAACAGTGTTGAAGAAGGCTGGAAACTGGTCACTTCTCGCAGGAGAAAGGCTCTTGTTCCTCCTCAAGACTTGCCTTTGAGGAAGAAGTTTAGCGCCCTCCAAGCTGAGGAGGAGCTGGACATGGCTTCAAGGGAAGCTACTGGCCTGACAGACCCTGTGCCATACGGGGACATCTGGAAGAAGAAGCGAGTGATTGTTGTGGGTGACTGCCTGCTGCAGGGGACAGAGGCACCTATCTGCTGACCTCACCTTTTGTCTAGAGAGGTTTGCTGCCTGCCAGGGGCTTGAATAAGAGATGTCACAGAAAGACTGCCAAGGCTTGTCCATGCGTTGGACTATTACCCGCTGCTGCTCTTCTGTGTGGGCACTAATGACTCCAAGGGCAAATTGGATACCATCAAACAGGATTTCAGAGCTCTGGGGATGGTGGTCAAGGGTCTGGGAGCCCAGGTCATTTTCTCCCCAATCCTGCCTGTGAGGGGTAAGGATGAGAGGGGGAGTAGATGGATTTTCCGAGTTAACAACTGGCTGTGCCACTGGTGTTGGCAGCAGGGTTTTGGTTTCTATGACCATGGGACCCTGTGGAAAAGGGGACAGGCCACTTGGGAGGAATATAGGGACATTGTCGGAGTATGCAGGGATGCGACAAGGAAGGCTAAGGCCCATTTGGAATGAAATCTGGCAAGAGATGTCAAGGACAGCAAGAAGGGCTTCTTCCAATACATCAATAGCAAAAGGAAGACTAGGGAAAACGTGGGCCCGCTGCTGAATGGGGCGGGTGCCCTGCTAACAAAAGATATAGAGAAGGCAGAGTTATTGAATGCCTTCTTTGCTTCAGTCTTTACAGCTGAGGCCAGTCCTCAGGAATTCCAGACCCTGGGGACAAGAGAGGAAGGCTGGAGAAAGGAAGACT